TTATTATCGATGCAGAGGTCGAATCTATGGTTTTTAGAATTTTTGTATCTGTTACATCACAGAAAAACCACTGGAGGGATTTTGATGAAATTTGGTATTATGATAGCTAGGTTAACATTTAGGATACTTTTTACTGCGGGAAAGTATCTCATCTCTGAGAAATCTATACTAAGCCTTAAAACGCAATACGTACATATAGTATGTTATATAATTGTTAGAATACGTCGGTTTCTATAAATTTGCTATTTTTATGTGTTTGTTTAACATGTAATTAAAAAAAAATAACTAATTATATAGTGAAAAAGTGCCATAGAGTCTGGCAAAATGAGGGCGATTCACTAGTCTCACTCGCATTCATTGATTCAGTAGGTACATAATATGAAACGAACCATTTATTTAAAATAAAATGAATTTGCTCGGTAAATGACCGGTTTTATGTCAAATATTATGAAATTTTATTTTTGTTAATCGTATTGTATTTTCAGTTTTTGTATTTATGTTATACATATGTTCGTTTACCGAATCTGGATATGATAGTTTAAGAAGAAAATTGGCGTTGGTAAGATATGCTATATTTTTATCCAATTTATGTTTTGCTATATATAATATTAAATATTACTAGCTTATGCTCGCGACTTCATTCGCGTAGTACTAAGATTAAAAGAGTGATATTCGACACTTTACAATTTTCCTCAAAACGTAGGTACTAAGGATTAAAATAAAAAAAATACAATTAATATAACAGACAGTTCTAGAGATAATCGCGTTCGAATAAACTAAAAAAAAAACATCTTCATATTAAGCCCTTATTTACCTCCCTTTACTGGTCACAGGCATCCCTTCATACGAGGGGGATCAAGCTATAGTCCACCACGCTAGTGAAGTGCGTGGACTGAGCATGTCTTTCGAAAACTTGCTAGGTTCTTTCTGACACGCGGGTTAATGAAGATATTTTCCTTCACCGTAATAATACATATTAGTATAAAGATTACAACCAGCTATAATCACGGCACTCATTTAGTTAACTTTAAAGTAGGTATACAGAAATTCAAATAACTTTTCAAATGTTACAGGAAGTATTATCGGAAAACGCCAATAAGAGTGTAGTAGTATCACCTTTACTAGTGCGCTTTTCATTATGTAAATTGGCATTATTTGCTCAAGAAACTGCTAAAGATGAATTACTCAATGTCCTTGGTCTTAACTCTGACTCCATGGTAAATGTTACAGCTTACTTCTATATGTCAATATTCATTATAATCAGATTAGATTGGTCTTTGATGCCCAGATGAATAGGCTTTCTTCTGTAAATAATTAAGATAAAGATCAAAAAGAGAAAGAATGATTGTACATTTATTAATATCTGTCCCAACTGTGCCATTTTATGTATATATATATAATATTTTTTCAGCTACAAATGTGCTACTCATGTTTGAAAGAAGTAATGTCGCAATTTAAAAACATAGATTTAGTAACTATTAATAAAATAATTGTCAACTATACCGCGGATATAAATAAAGCTTTTTTGAATAGCAGTGATTTTGGGGTTACCATTCATCAAGTTAGCTATAAATATCCTAAATATTCAGTGTCATTCATTAATAAAGAGGTAAATATGCAATAAATTCTTTTTAAAATTAACCTTACTTCATTTACAAACTAGCTTGCTTCACAATAAAAACTTCCATCCCCATTTTCACCCTCTTAAGGGATGATTTCCGGGATAAAATGTCCTACATCCTTCCCAGGGTCTCAAACTATCTTCTTACTAAATTTCATCTGAATCGGTTCTGTAGATCCAGAGATTACCCCCTACAACATCACAAACTCACGAACTTTCCCTCTTTATAATATTAGTATCGAAGAGGAAATTCATTGAAAATACTAATATACTTAATTATATATATAAAACAAATGTACAATTATTAATTATTACTGAACAAGTCATAACTGCGTGAAATGGTGGCAAGAATGCTAACTAGAATACCGCATTCCCCCGCTGAATGGCAATACCGATTCTTTGGGCGAAAATTAAGACATGTTTTTTGTCATCATCTTATGAAGTAATGTGTGCGCAAGCGATCCTGCAACACCCATTGCACTGCTTTCGCTGTGAGTTTTAGTGAGTAAGAGTCACACAGCCTGCCCCGTTGACGGCTGGATGAGGCAAAGAGATAGATTATAGTCTGGAATAACACATAGATTACTTTTTATCTCGGAAAAATGTACGGTTCCCGCGGAATAGGTTTGTTTTCCTAGAGATGAACCCGAGCGAAGCGAGAGTGTGCTGCTAGTATATTGTTACGCGTCGCTAGTTTATTTGAAGACATCAAGTACGCCTTCATACAACCTCTGTGGTGTTTGTCTACCCAGGCGCCAGGCAGGCAGGAAAAGTATGATGACGAAGACATATTGATTGACGTTTGGGCGGGACGTATGATTTTCTGTTGTGTATATAAATTTTATTAATTACTGTCAATATAACGAATATATCAGGAAAAGTGTTTCGTTGTTTTACAATATAATACATGACATTTTTTTACAAAATCAAATTCCATACTGCTAAGAAAATGTTCTTCGGATGTTATAAATGACATTTTCGTGTAAGCTATATCAATAATTTAACTGCATTTTGTTTTAGATTGATAGAGTACTCTATAACAGGATTACAGATGTGATAGAGCCAACTGATATTAACAACAAGACTTCAATTTTAATCGTAAATATCGCCTATCTTAAGGTAAATGTGTATTTAATATAACGCTGTCTGTTTCTTAAATGTTTCTAAGCGCTAACTTCTGCTCCTGCCACTCTGTCTTACTTGTCTAAATATTTAAATTTTTACTTAGTAAAAATTATCTATCACCGTTTAGCTGTTAGTATGAGAGCACATACACATACATACACGCACACATAAATACGCACGCACGCACACATCCATACGCACGCACGCACACACTCACGCACGCAAACGCCTACGCCCATGCACGTATACACACAATATACTTAGTTTCAAAATTTTAGAAGATTCTTGTTTTTTTATTTAAAGAATAAGTTAAATAAAGATAATCTCATTTTAGGTGACCTGGGAGTTCCCTTTCGATATAAAACTAACAAAAGATATGAAGTTCCATCATCAAAACGGTAGTGTATCAATGGTGCCGATGATGTCGAAAGCCGATACGTATTTCTATTTAGAGGATGAAATAAATAATTTACAGGTAGAAAATACTTACTAGCGTATCATTAATATTATATTTTTAACTGTATCTTCTATGCAAAAAAGTCTTCGATAGTTCTACACTCCATAGATCCATGTGTGATTCAGACAAACAAATAAATGTATGTATGTCTTATACTACATTATAAATAAACCTTCAATAAAAATTATTGCATACATATTTCACTTTTTATAGGTAGTTAACATAAGATTAGCCAGTTTTGGTCTAACCATGACTCTAGTCGTACCGAGTACAGCAAAGGGATTGGGATCTCTTTTAAAACAGCTTTCAAACGATCCAGATTTCTTAAAAAGGATTTATAAAAAAATGCGACCTGATAATGTTAACATAATGTTACCAAGATTTAAAATCAAAACAAGTTTAAATTGGAATAAATTTCTTAATAAGGTAACGAGTAAAGAAAAATATTTTATAATTCTAACAAAATTTACCGAATTCAAAAAGAGGGGGTATATTTTGGTCGTTATTTTTGCCAATGGTTTTCATGAAATTGAGATGTAACTTAGATAGGTAGGGTAGTTTGATATGAATTTTATTGAAAAAAACACCCCTAAAAAAGGAATAATTATTTTATTCTAGATTTATTTATATAGTATTATAGTATTTATTTCGATAATATAATTTCAGATAGGAGTTAAGCAAATATTCAATGAAACGAATTCGGGGCTTAGTGGTATTTTAAAAGAAAATAGCGCCACCAAATATATTTATTTAAGCAACTGCAAACAGAAGAATTATATCCATGTTGATGAAATGGGTGTATTTAGACATCCAATAGAAGGTAATAGCTGTTACAAAAACAATTAAGGTTTTTTTTTAGTAATTGTTGGGAAATTTATATAGGAATACCACCTGCACACATACACATCACATGACTTAAACGGCATGACGGCAAAGCCAGTTCTACCTACATAAACCCAACGGAACCTCTCCCGTCTTAATGGGACATCGCAGGGTCGCTTACGCACTCAACTACCAAGCTTCGACGATAGACCTGCCGAAGCCGAAGCCGACCACACAACCAAGAGGTTGCTCCCACGTTCCACTCTGCTGTTTGAGAAGTACCAGGAGCAACCATGCGTATACCGTCCACCGAAGTGAACTACCTCCCTATGTGTCTCTTGGCTCCCCCCTCCCAACTGGTTGATGGGGCATTAAAAAAACTAAAAATAATACTCTCTTATACATATATATACATAATACGCTTTCCCTTCCAGAATTACCACCAGATCTACATAATAGAGAAACAATAAACCAAATACTTGCAGATCATCCGTTCTATTTCAGTATTAACTTGCAGACAGACTATCACCGTCAATGGGACGCGCAAGAATTGCTCACAGGCGTATATTATGGTCCACATTCATGATATAAAATATAAGTATACCTATTTAACACGTGTGTATCTTTAAGATATGTCAAGTTTAAAGAAATTTTTGCGACCAAAAAATATCTTCGGTTTTTAGTTTTCTATATAAAAAAAAACATTTCCCCACTTATTAAACATCATCAAAGAGTCGGCTAATCAAGCGAAAAGTCACTAAAAGTAATCACACGCTTAAATAACTTTAAAAAGTGTAACAAAAGTACAGTAATAGCTAACTAGTGGTCACGTGCAGGCGCGTGCTGCATCGGGAATAAAGGCGTCCTAATAATCTACGATATGTAGGGTCCAAATTACAGACCTTCGACCAATTACGACGAATTATTTGAACGAAATGAAAAGGTTATTGAAATGCATAATGGACATGCAAATGAAGTTACTTGCGAAGCTATCACTTATGCTATATTTAATTTATAATAAACGAATATACGCTTTAATCATTCTGAATAAAGGCCACAATTCTTTGAAGCTATTTTGTTAGTAAAAATTACATACTTGGTACAAGCACTTCATCTGTTAAAACAGCCCGTGCTTCAATTGGTAATTCTTGCTCCTTTTATCTGATGATCTCGTTTTAATTTCCATTAAATTCAGGTAAATTTTTAAAGTCCATTAGTCATTTATTGGTAGAGTATATGTAGTTTCATTCTGATACTTCTCATTTTGTAAGTAGAATATTTTATAATGCATAAAATAATATTATGATGTAAATAATATTATTAAAGTATAAAAAGGCCTAAATTATAAAACTTGATGTTAAGGAGATATTTTCGATCATATAAAGTGAACAAATATTTTCCGTCAAGTTAATTTGTTTCGTCATGTTTAAATCTTTAAAGAATTTAACTAACTTTTTTGTTCTTCATGGCTCATATCTTAACGGAAAAAACTATTTTTAATTTCAATCGATATTACTATATATTATTACCATAATATCTTCTATAGAGAAATCATGTAAACCACGACAATGATTATAATAATAGTAATGATAGCCCAATAGTAACTAACTTCTCAGTTTTTGTTACTGAATATAAATGAGTGGGTGAAGATCGAGTTCTTTGAGACAATGAGACTGGTGTGCAGCGTGACTGGTATGACTCCGGTGGTTGATAGAATAAGAGAGACTGTGTTTGCATGCCATTATGTTTTGAGCTCTATCAATAGATCTCTATATATATTTTGTATTTTATCAGTGTAGGTATATTGTTGACAAGTTATGTTTATTTTATTAGTATTATTATTTTATTTTTACTTCATGGTATTACAAGTTGTGACTGATAAACCCATTGATCCGGTCGAATCCGCCGCATCTATTTGTTCTAGAATAATTGACTCCCAGGGGCATTCACCTGTCGGATAAGAGAAGATTTGCCAAAGAGCTACCCTTTATTAATTTGAAATGTAACTATTTGGAATGGACCACAAAAACAGCTAATTGTATACTCGATACTGGAATATTCAAAACATATAGACAAATGCTAGGCTCATTTATATTATATTATAATGGCATTGAATAATAATCAATAATCAGTAAATCATTCTAACTCTTTTGGAAAACATACTCTTCAAAAGAAAATATTCTCCACGTTGATATGTTACCCTTAAGTGAATTTATTTTAGATATTTTTTTCTATGTCAATTTCTATTTTAATATTGAAAATTATATTAAGTTGATTACTACAAGTCACAACACTGTAAGTAGCAATTTTGAATTCTGACTTTGATTCTGAAATGAAAAATTATTGTCTATTCTTAATTCATATTAATATTGAGCTGCAATCTTCTCTTTTTCATAAATAAGTCTATGAGTTTTTATATATTTTTATAGTTTCACTGAAACCAAAGCAGAAATATTTTATTATATTAAATAATATTTTTTTTATCTTTAATCTAACACATATGGAAATACATGGTATATCTAGACAGAGGCAGACAGTAATATAATAACTATACATGATTAATGGTATCGTATTAAAATCCTATCACACCTTATTAAGTCACAGCGTTTATCCTGTCCCCTTAGAAATTATTCACCGTTCTGCTTTGTATGCATGGCAATTTAGATTTTATATTCAAATGACCGGTATAATAATCACAAGCGATCAGCAAGGCGTTTGGGGTTAGTAAATATGTAGATTAAACAACAATATACTGTTAGATTGTTTTGATGTCGACTATTTTATGGGTGGATGTACCAGGAATTTACTTTAAATTTGATGAGTCGGTTTCGTTTCCTCCAAAAATTAATAAATATAATATGAACTACATATATAACTGTTATCTATTTATAAATCATGATAAATATTTTTACCCGACTACGCAAGAAGAAGGGTTATGTTTTTCGTGTGTATGTATGTATGTATTAATATTTTTTAATACATATATACACATTTTTTATTTATTTAGTGCGTATTAATTTGCTTTTAAAAATATTAATTGCTTATAAAATTTCAAAAAAATATTCCTACCGACTCTCTGACTACCCGACACTCTCTATTTCGTTCTCTCAAAATCCAATAGAACGAGAATAATCAATTCAATCGGTGAGTGATCAGACAAATAACCAACGACTTTACATGCTCTCTTAGGTATGGGGGCGAAACACCGCCAACTTCCCAGCTCCGGGCTGTTAGTGCGAATTTCTTTACAGAAAAACCCAATAATTAAACTTTGCCCAATCTAAAACTGGTTATCAGAACCTCTAGATCTACAGGCATACATACCATAAAAGAAATGCTGGGCTTACTTAAAAGACTCGGGATTGTAAATTGTAGTGTTAAATCAAAGAGGCCTAAGATCCTCAATGAATAAAATAGACTATTATTTGTCTAAATTCGATTTGATTACTTAAAAAGTGTGTATTGATCCATGTTTGTCTCATTTAGCACCTGTCGTGATATTCTGTATAGAAAAAAATACTATCCAGAAAGATTTTTTCTTTCATCTCAATACATCACATGATTCCTACAGGACATATAACATAATAACGTGTTACTAACGATATAAAAGTCACTATTAACAAAATCATACCGAGTAGTGGTTTTAAGGTACAAGTGCACAAATTTCCCGAGCGCTACATTTGTTTGGTACCATCAAGCGGACCGCATCTACATCAGGTAGTTAGGTGTGCAGAAAAATCGAGCCCAGCGCCCCATCTGACATGCCATTTGTTAATTCGCTGAAATATCGCGGCAGGCGACGGCTATTCATTATAAGGCTCGTTGCCACACGTGTGCTAGTAGCGTCAGCATAACGATTTATTACTATGCATTTGCCAAAATTGTTTTAATAAAATCATATTTGTGTTTTTGCGAAACATATTGTGGTTGTTTTGATATATTTTGTTGGATATTGAATTATTTTATATATCATTTGCTATTATTTTTGATTGCAACAATACAATTTTACTAGGAATTGTTTGTGAATTTTATATAAAGTACAGGAAATGGGTTTCAATATAAATAAAATAATATTACAAATAGTATGATGTAATACATTCTGAATATTGTATCACAATTGCACTTATATATTTTTTTAATTTACCTATTTTATTAGAAAAAATATCAATATAATTTTATTTTCTATACCATTTATTAGTAGCATTACTGGAACACTCAATAACTAAAATAATAATCTTAATTAAATTCAAGTTTTATCAACAATGAAAATAAAAAAATGTTATTATGCCAACGGTATACCCAATGCAGTCACTCGTGCAAGGGTGACAGTGTTGCATCTATCCTTCTCTTACTCAAAGTAGATCGCATACACTTCTCTTTCGCACAAAGATTGAATTAGTCGTATTTTAGACCTAATTTTAGTAGCACTGTAACAAATAATTTATTCCGTTTTAATAAATCAGTGGAAGAAAAATAACCTACCATTTAAAGAAGTCCCTAGTTTTTTTATTGTCCCTGAATAATCGCATTCTATTAGAATTCTTTATTTTTTTTAATTTTACTATCTATTCTTTATTTTTTATAATTTTACTATCAATTTTACTTTTTCCTTCTTAGTCTAAAATTGCAGTGATAATCGAACGATATGAACTCATTGATAATAGTAAACAATGTTTTTTCAAATATTTCTAGTTCAATATCACAGTTTGGAAAATTCAATGCCTAAGTCAAAAAAATATGCTTAAAGAAACTCAGCGAGATTATTTGTTACTTTCTATCTAAACTTAATTAAGTTTTAGTTTTTATTTACATTTTTAATTAAATAGAAATACTTAGTACATAGGTTTTACCATCGATGCTATTGTTAGACTTAATTTAAATTATTTTTTATCTCCGCCTGTTTGAAATTGTTATGGGATGGTAATTCGATACGATCGGTGCTAGATCAGGCGCAGGACCGACAGCTTAATGCGCTATCCGAGGGATAGGATCACGGGGATGAAACACCGCCAACATGCCAACTCCGGGTTATTACTGGGACTTCCTTAGCAGAAAGACTCAATAACTAAACTTGGCCCAATCCGGGACTCGAACCCAGGACCTCCGTAAATACAACCGTACATGCTAGCCACTTATCGACCAAATCATTCGCATATCAACAAGAAGCTACAAAGTAGTACAGCTAATGTGATGCATGTAACCACTTAAGATGTAATCATAGCTCACGTACATGAAGGTAATACTCAAAGGCACCAGAGGTCATACTGCATTCTGTAGTACACTCCTTACTTAGCATATCAGCTAATTAACCTAATAAGCCAGGTAAGACACGGGGGTTCACCTACATTCACTTTGTAGTTGTGACTGACAAATTGAATGATATAAAGTGAAATTTAAGTTAAACTAAGGCTCTTTAACAGACTAATATTTCAAGGGTGCATCTTGACTTAACAAGATATATGAGCTTATATAACTTTTTAGACCATAAACTAGCTATATTTATGGCTAAAATTATGTCGATTTGTCGCTCCTTTTCTACGTGAGATAAGCAAATGATGAAATATGTTATTAATTTATAATAAA